GGGGGGGGGGGGGGAAGGGGAGCATGCGTACTTCCAAAGAAATTGAAGTGCTGGGGTCATGTGGCCAAATAAGGACCCGCCCTTGTCATAGAGGAGGCAAATCACGGATATTAAATCGCTCCATTATATACTCAGAATGAATGTGTTTTTATCCGGTTGACAATTCTCATAGAATTTTTTTCATGACGCTTTCAATATTACAGACTCAAAGCCGAGCACGTTATCCATGTATAAACCCGAACACCAAGCATGCAATCCGTCGATGCAACATCTTCATCCATTCATGACTTGAAGTTATGGGGGTGATTTACAACAAGTTCACAGATGAAAAGAAAAAAAAAACACTGTTTTCAGTTGTAAATATGCAGAGTCAAAATAAGCTAGATTGTGAAGAAAAACACAGAATAAATCACTAATGAACTCGACGAACTTAAGAAAATCTTCTATTGCAGACAACTATAAATTGAGCACAATCGCCGTGTTAGTTCTACTGCTGGTGGCAAAGCTGGAAACGTGTTTGTGCTCTGGTATGCAATGCAAAGCTTTTCCACTTTAAAGTTTGTACATCATTTAAGCTCTGTTATAAATAGTTGACATGGAAATAATTGGAATTTCAATTTATTAAGAATTTTCGTGCAAAGGAGACAAGTTGTAATGGTGGCAGAAGAGCAGGTGAATCGGTAGCACCGATGCACTTTTAACGAAAGCCCTGTAAGCTATTATAGCAGCATTAACGCCTTGAATTTCCGTTGTCGTTACCAGCCCTATCCAGACAGCAGCAGCATCAACACCGTGGTTTTCCGTTGACGTTACCAGCTCTATCCAGACAACAGCAGCATTAACACCGTGGCTTTCCGTTGACGTTACCAGCTCTATCCAGACAACAGCAGCATTAACACCGTGGCTTGTTGTTACCAGCTGTATTTTTATATATTTTGCAGGGACAGGCGGAGGTTTTCCTCTTCAGTATTATTCACCCCAAACATATTAATTACCCTTGAAATGATTTAAACCAGTTGAAAAACCTTGTAGTTAAAGTAGCATTGACCTACTAGTATTTTTGCTTCCTTGATTAATTATGATTAATTGAATTTTTCCCGGATAATAAATCCAAACGCTTTATTAAGATACATGCCGCAGCAGTTGGTGCCATATTAGTTTAGATGGGGGACTACATATCCATATAAAATACAAATAATTAAATATTCGATGTACATGTATCTTTAGATTTATGGTCGCGAAATGCATCCTGACAAGTGACAAAACGTTAGTATGGTACCGTTGGACATCTTAATACGTCAGTTTATCAATTTTCTTGTAAGTAAATGAAACGGTATAATACGTATATTTGTCCAGATGAGATGTTCTTGTTAAATATATTTAAAAGGGTCATAGAACCGATCCAAAGAACCAATATTAATTTTCTGAATAATATATCCATAGGTTGTTATATTGCCTCGATATGAGTCATTCATCAGGTCTCAAGGATGGTTGTTCTTTCCTCAGCGCATCGTGTCCCCCCCCCCCAAAAAAAAAAATAAATAAATAAATAAATAAATAAATAAATAAATAAATAAATAAACCAAGGAGCAACAAACGAGAACAGTCATGTGTGTTGTCATGATAAAACCTGCTGTCATCCCTGAAGATATAAGACTTGCAATTTAGATATTAGTTGATAATGTAATGGCAGTGGATTATTTATCAATGAAATACCATCCATTTATCTCATTTACCCATTTATGTCATTAAGTGAAAAGATTCATCAATATTAAAAGTAACTTTTATTCTTGTTTTCGTGCTGCGATGGTTGGTCAAGCCACCATCCTGTTTGACTTGATAACAAGCGAAATACGGACTCTTAATACGTCCATTAAGAGTACCCCCCCCCCCCCCCAACACACACACACAACACAGAGACAGACAGGAACACCCAGCTCACTGCTGCTAGCAGCATATGACTGAGATAAATCACGCTGTAATTTGATATCACCCTGACTGTGATGCGAATAGATAATTTTATCAATCAAAACATTAGAGTTAATAACATGCGCCATGGCTTCGGTATATCATAATAGGGTTGTGACGTACTGACTATGTAGACTTTGATGTGGCGTGTAGGGGGGAGGACGCTGTACCCACTCTGGGCGCCTTTACCATGGCAATGGCTTCGAAAGAGATGTGCAGCGCCTACAGTGAGAAATTTTTAACGTGTCATATATGCCTGGAGGCATATAAAGACCCGAGAGTGCTCCCTTGTTACCACACGTTCTGCCTGGGTTGTATTGCTGACCATGCAGCCAAGAATGGTGTACAGGACAAGTTTTTCTGTCCCGTGTGTCGCCAAGAGGCCCCTGTACCACCTGGTGGGTTAGAAACTCTCGTGAAAAACTGCTTCTTAAGAAAAGTAACAGACTTCATGAAAGATCAAAAAGCGCCAGAGGGGAGACTTTGTGAGTATTGTAAACATAAAGAGGCCGTTTTGCTGTGCCAAGGTTGTCGTGAATTCTACATGTCGTGAATTGCATGACAGTATCCCTGCATTAAATGGACATCAAGTTGTATCTCTGCCACAAGTCGATTTCTCAGTTAACCCAGCTATTATACGAGAACAGTTGTGCCACGTATTAGATGAAGCTCAATACTGCAACAAACACGACGGCGAGTTTTTGACATTCTATTGTGAAGAAGATGACACCGTGGCATGTAGAGATTGTATTTTGGAAACTCACAGCAAACACAACTTCAAAAAACTAGAAGAAGTGGCGAAGGTTCAACGACATTTAATACAAGAGAAGCTAAAATGTCTCCCTTCTGAGAAACTATCTCGTTTTGAAAACGCACAAACGGCCATTGGGCGGACGGAAGAGAGGCTGATAGAAAATCAGGCCAAAGTTTTTGGTTTGGTGGATTCCCAAAAAGTAACTATGATAAAGGAAATAAAGGAAAACAGTAAAGCTTTTGACATGGGAATCAAAGTATATTATCAGCGAGTAGAAAAAGATGTACGTCAACAGACGAACGCTTATTTAACAAGTGTCAAACAGCGTTTAGAAACGTATCGTACAGAAAAACAGTCCAATTACACCGGAATAGAAAGACATATAGATGACAAAAGGAACGAAATACTAGCAGAAGTTAAGGCACTCACCACCACGCAGATGAAGGCATTAGAAGCTGAAAAGGACAAACAAGAGATGAACAAGATTTCCATTCAGAGCATTCGTGATTTCGCTCAGCAACTTATGGACGTCGGTTCTGACATTGAGGTCATGACCCACTCTAAAAAACTCCAAACTAGAATACAAGAGTTAAAGACAGTAGAACCAGTCTTTGATATCAAGTTCACCGACATAACATTTACACCAGGGCAAACAAAAATGGAGGTTGGACTACTGTGTCCCGAAATCCCTGAACCACGGCCGCTGTCCATCAAAACGAGGTCCATTACCGCCAAAACATACCGGGATCCCTTTGCATGTTTTGGAAGTTTGGCACAAGCGATAGAGTTCCCTAATGAATTGCGGCAGTTTCAGAAACCCACTTGGCTTGAGAAGCCGTTGCCAACCATTCGTTTTTATATAGAGGCTAAGATTTTGGATATTCGGTGGACGGGTGGCGGGTGCTTTTTAGTTGTATTTGCAACTCTAATTGGTTATATGGCATGGGGATTTTTTGGTAATACCAGTCCTGAAACAGTATACGTATTCTCCAGCACAGGCCAATGTAATCGTAAGATCAGTATAGGGGCGTGGTGTATCACTACAGCCAGTAACGATAGATTCGTGGTCACATGCGGAGATAAATGCTGTAGACTGTATTCAACATCAGGTCAGGTTATCCGGTGTTTTGGTCAGGGTGATATGTCTGAACCCTGGGGTGTCACTGTGGACCGTACAGAGGGTAAGGTGTACGTGTGTGATGGTGGTGCACAATGCATCTGTGTGTACGGCATGAAATCTTTTCAACTTGTGAACAGAATTCCTATCCCAATGTGCAGTAAAGGTCAACTGCGCTGTGCATACCACCACGGCATCAATGCAATCATAGTCAGCGACTACAAGGCCCACTGTGTGTATGCAGTGACACCCCAGGGAGACGTCATGTTCCAGTACGGAGCAAGGGGTCAGAGTGGAAGTGAAGACGGACAACTGAGTAATCCACAAGGAATGTGCGTAGATAAGTTTGGACACATATTCATAGCTGACTGCAGTAATCACAGGGTGGTTGTCCTTGGTTCAGACGGAACATTTCTACGTAACATTTTGACAAGGAATGATTACATAACATCTCCTGTGTCAGTTGATGTTGAACGAAACGGGGAGCTTGTTGTTGTTGGAACTTTGGGAGGTGAAATATCATCGTATAGGTATATACAGACTTGACATTTAATATGGAATATTTCAGTTTCGAAGGTATGACTTGGTAAAATTGCGTTCTTATTTTTTTTTAACTCAAATATCATATAAGATATGTGAATGGAGAAGTGTGTAGTCAGGTGTATCGCTTCCAATTAACTGAATACCAGGTTTGTTGCGCTGCTGAATTATATAATATATAGATAAATTAAAAAGAAAAAACAGTGGCTTGAATTTAACACTTACAATACTTCCAACCAATGTCATCAACATAGCAGGTGGCAGAAGTGGGAAAGCAGTGCAACGTACAGCATGCCGTGCAGAAAAAAAAAACATTTACCATTTTCTACTTATGCCTCCTTTCATTTTCATTTCAGCGAAAGGAAGGGAAAAAATCTCTAAAAAGCATTAACATTTATTCCTCATTGTTGATTTCTTTATTTGTTTGCTGTAAATCCCCATCCACTGTGACGTATGTTGTGCAACATCTAAATATTAGTGATTTTCTATATCAAATATAATAAGTTCGACTGTTTTATATAGATTATATACCATATATACATTGGGTGCTATTATTCACTGAAGTAATATTAAATATAATTATTTCAACTGTTTTATATGGATTATATACCATATATACATTGGGTGCTATTATTCACAGAAGTAATGTGTTGAATTTTGTAAGGATGTTTGTAAGGATGTTTGACATTCCCATAATCAAAGACGCTGACATAAAAAAGGTGGAATACACCTTCATTACTTGAAGAATTTTAGGCGGAGTTTTGTAGTGGGGTGTTTTTCTCTTTATAATGAATACCTGTTTGAATATTGTGGCCCAACCCCTGTTTGTAAGAGTCAGCATCAAAGGACATCTTAAAGGTTATTTCTAGCGCACCCCTGTACATTGCAAACTTTGCTGCGCAGCCGCCATTATGATACGAGTATTTTGTATTGATATTCAGCAGTCAGCAGATACACATTTAGGATGAAAAAGCCTATAATATGGAGTAATATGGGGTCTTCTTTTTTTGTCGGATCTTTAAGAGGAACTATTTGTTCTATGGTCAATCGAATTCCCTGGATAGTTCTATCGGGTGAATTTATCAAACATATCACAGTGGCATCTTCATACTACCGGGTATTTAGCTACTTGAGCATGAAGGCGTATCCCTACGCCTCCCTCCGTCACAGCATGTATTTTTCCATAGTTAAGCTCGTCATGAAAACTGAAATTTTGATGTTCGATTGTAACATTTTTGGAGGGGGTACAAGTAAAAAGATAATATAAGTGTGGGGGTGGGAGTCGGTGTTGAGCTGCTCATTTAAATAAGAAGTATGACAAGGGGAGTTTCCCTTAATCGCGGTTTGAGCTTAGGGCTGACGCTTTGAAAAAATGTGTTTGGGCGGACGATGAGGGGGATTACTGACCCCCCCCCCTTCCAGCCACCCCCCCCCTCCTCCTCCAATCCCAACCCCATTTCTAAACCCTATACTATTATATCCACAAATTCACCATTGAAAACATCACTATCTCTCAGTACACGGTGCGAGGAATCCATTTACGAGGTTTATCTTTATCTCCGCCCCATTATAACAACGATGATGGCGGCTGATCAGGCAAATTGTTGTTATTTTCTTTCCTTGTCGTAAATAACTGGATGGTTAGGATATTAAAATAGTATCATGTGGTCAGCGATATTATAAAGGTCCACCCTGCGCGTGTGGTCACTTTATGGTAGGGTCAACCACTAGTGTGAGAACTTTGACATCCAATTAGGGGGGAAGGTGGGGGGGTTTAAGATATAGAATTGTTGCGGTAACCTTAACATGACTGACCTGTTATTCTTTGGTGTATTTAACACATTTCTTTGCGAGGAGCGATGTGATCAATTTTGAATAGTGACTATGTATGGTCTACTTAAATATATTTTTTCAGCCACATTGTTTTAAAATGCAAATAGAATTTATATAAAAATAAAGCAAATTAGAAGAGTTTAAATTGAAGCTACATGTGTGGCGTACATGTTATCAGTGGGTTTGGCCGAGTCATATATACGTTCATACCCGCGTTTTACTGTTTGTTATCTTTTCAATTTATTCATAAATAGAATTATTCAATGTTAGATGTCACGCCGCCTGGTGATTCATAGGACATGTATTTTAGGGGACTTCCGCTGGATGTGACTATTTCTTCTTGTAATAGTGGATATCTTTTATTTTTCTTTTGTTTTCCTTTTTCAGTACGTAGGTCTATGGTCACGTTTTGTCTTGCCCATCTGGTATATCTGAGGTCAGGGGTTTTATTATCACGACGACAGACACATAAGTCTGGATGTATTTATTTTCAAAACCACAGAACAGTCAATCAGCCTGAAAATTGTGCCGGTTTGATTCAGAGGGGAGGATAATGGTATCAAAATATCTCGTACGGTGCCTCCTTAATTTTAATCCTACGTACGATGTATCTGTCCAGTCTGTTCAGTCTGTTTTCTTTAACTTTTCATTTTTTTCCTTATCAATCGGTCGTATTTCATCTTTCTACCTGAATCTGCTTTCCCATCTTTTCACTCTCTCTCTCTCTCCCTCTCTCTCTCTCTCTCTCTCACATACACACACGCACACACACACACACATACACACACAC